GAACTCTGTCAACTCTGTGGCTGGGCCTTGTCCTCCTCTTGGCCGCGTCCCTGAACTCTGTCAACTCTGTGGCTGGGCCTTGTCCTAGAGACAGAGACGGACAGAGACAGAGAGAGACAGAGACAGAGACCGACAGTGACAGAGACAGAGACAGAGACAGACAGTGACAGAGACAGACAGTGACAGAGACAGACAGTGACAGAGACAGACTGAGACAGACAGAGACAGACAGAGACAGACAGACAGACAGAGAGAGGGAGAGAGACAGAAAGAAAGAAAGACAGAAAGAAAGACAGAAGGAAAGAGACGAGCAGAAATACGCTCCAGAAAGGCGCGCTTAGGGCGCGCTCTGCAGAGAGAAAGAGAGAGAAAGAGAAACTTAAAGAAGAGAGAGAGAGAGAGAGAGAGAGAGAAAGAGAGAGAGAGAGAGAGAAAGAAAGAAAGAAAGAAAGAAAGAGCGCAGAGCGAGCGCGCTTGCGTGCTATGACGGCGCGCTCACGCTCCAGAAAGGCTCGCTCGGAGCACGCTGCGCAGAGAGAAAGACAGAGAAAGAAACACTGGAAGAGAATGAGCGAGAGAGAGAGAGAGAGAGAAAAAAAAAAAAAAGGCGAGATATAGAGAGAGAGAGAGAGCAGGGCGAGCGAGCGCGCTCGTGTGCCATGGACGGCGCGCTCGCCCTGAAATATGCTCCAGAAAGGCGCGCTCAGGGCGCGCCCTGCAGAGAGGAAGACAGAGAAAGAGAACTTAAAGAGAAAGAGAGAGAGAGAAAGAAAGAGAGAGAGAGAGAAGGAAAGAGAGCAGGGCGAGCGCGCGCGCGCTCGTGCGCTATGGACGGCGCGCCTGCTCGCGCCCTGAAATATGCTCCAGAAAGGCCCGCTCATGGCGCGCCCTGCAGAGAGGAAGACAGAGAAAGAGAAACTTGAAGAGAAAGAGAGAGAAAGAGAGAGAGAGAGAGAGAGAGCAGGGCGAGCGCGCGCGTGCTCGTGCGCTATGGACGGCTTACTGGGCTCTTCTCTGCGCTGGGCTCTGTGGCTGGGCCTTGTCCTCCTCTTGTCCTTGTTTTGGCCGCGCCCCTGAACTCTGTGGCTGGGCTCTGTGGTCCGGCTCTGTGTCCGGGTCTTGTCCTCCTCTTGTCCTTGTCTTGGCCGCGCCCCCGAACTCTATGGCCGGTCTCTGTGGCCCGGCTTACTGGAAAGGAGTGTGGCCGAACAAATAGCGATGTCAATGCCGACAAAAATTCATTGATGAAGCAGTTTGCTCTTGGGGTGAAAGTAGGGCGAACCAAGAAATCGATTTTTGACTGATATTGGTCTAAACGAATCGTTTCGAAGCTGTTTGGGGTCTATGCTTGTATAATTTGTGCTTCATTGGCACAAGTAATAAATACTTTGTGAACACATGTTATATGTGTTCACAAAAGGTTAATCAAATTATGATCAATTATGTATGTACCGCAACAAAGGTTAGTAAGGTCTCTGACAAACAGGATGTGAATAGGCGTCTTGGTTCCTCGTGTGGGGTCAACTCCAATGCTGGTCGGAGTTGCCAGCAAAACGTTCTCGACGTGAAATAAAGCAACCGATGAAAGTCAATCAGAAGTTTTATTTCATGCCCATCAGCAATTCTTTGAGGTGCCACCAATGACAGAGGCGCCGATTTTCCTCACACCTGTGGATGTGGTCACGGGTGAGCTAGACGTCTCCTCCCTTCCAGAGGCGCGGGCCCTTGAATTCCCAAAGGTAGCGCAAAGCATTTTCGTCGGGCTCTTCAAGGCCACAATTTTGACGTGCAAGACTTAAACCGGGTTTAGAGGCGTCTCCCCCCATTTATTCAGCTGCGAAGGGTCACCGACCTGCATTCCAGCTGGTTTGGATTGCGTAGAAGGCCTTTACAGCTGTTGCTTGATGAGCCCTGGCTGCCCTGGCTCCGAAGTAGACAAGATGACCGTGCCCGCTGCCTTGAGCAAGTTGCCCCGAGGAAATGGGTGTTTACGCCGTTTATGATGGAGATGAAAGGCTACAGTACATTGGCTTATCGAGGACACATGGCAAAGGTCGAAGAAGTGCGGGATGTTGTGTCCCTCCTTTGCAAAAATAAGGGCCTTTCCGCAGCTTACGTGTCATATCTCATTCTGACCCGCTCTCTCGGAGTTCACCACCGCAAGGTCCCTGTCAAGATTCAGCGACGATTAGCTTGAGTTGTCCCCACCAGACAGCGTGTCACGCATCGAAGCTCTATGGATCAAGGATTTTTTGGACGGGGCGGCAATAGTTTGGCATTAAAGTTTTGACAGACTTCATCAAGGTCATCATGTGTACCGTTGGCATCGGTTTTTCCCCAGATAGCGAAGCTATGGGGTTCTTACTTCAAACAAAAAAGAGTTGCCCGCGCGCGCTTTCGAGACAGGTTGCTGGTGCTGGGCGCCGGTGCTGGTGCTGCTGGCTGTGCGCGTGGTGGAGACAGGTTGCTGGCGCCGGTGCTGGTGCTGGGTGCCGGGTGCTGGTGCTGGTGCTGTGAGCTGGCTGTGC